TGCTCCTATCGGCAGGTTAGAACAGTATTGCTGAAATACTATTAGAAACAGGAAAGCTTTTGTAGGAATAAAACATACTCTGGCGGCTGCTCTATTGTTAATCTACAGATCACAAACAAAATTTCTGGCTGAGCAAGCTTCCGATGTTAGAAATGCTTTTTCTTGAAGATCATATGTAATTGTGTTCTGCTAAGGAGACCCCACCTGCGTATGATCATGACTATGTTATCATCACCTATGATTAAGGATTCTCGAGGGAATCTGAAACATCAGGCAAATAAAACTCTTGTTCCAGTGATCGCATATTCTTCTTCTTCTGAACTACTTCCTGGAACTCGCATATTCTCTACTATTGGCAATACCTTTATGTATAAGTCTAAATCGCACAAGTTGCTTACATGCAATGATATCCACGTTGACATTAATCATTTGTTGACTTCTCCTTAGCTAGTTGAATAGCCTATCTTCACAGCGAAATCTTCTTTAAGTCATTTCAGCTCAATTATTGGAACTTCGGGCCCCATCTCCTGTCATCACAAAACTTCCATTCTCATAAGCTGATTGGTTGATTACTTTCTTACAAAAGACCAAAAAGAGTATAAACTCACAGTGCCAACGCGATTTATTGCAACGGTGAAGTAGCTGTTGGCAATAGCTGCATTGCGAGCTTCAATTGGCCAAAGGGATTCACTGAAACAGCAATAGAATTCGACGGCTCAAGAAACAGGAGATTTTTAAGAGAAATATTTTGCTTCATTGCTCGCAAAATATTTTGCTGTCAGATCTACCTGGTAACAACCCCGGCCGATTAAATAAATACTGCAAATCTTCCCTGCCTCATCCACGACATTAAGCTTTCCACAAGCCCCCAACCTGAAGCCTCATCATATCATAAAACGATGATTAATCGAAAACGCGCCTGTGCTTCAAATTAATTTCAAAAGCAATTAACAACAACTGAGCCAGTAGTTAGGGCGAAGAAGGCTAGTACTGGATACGTCTGAACATCAAAAGACGAAGAGGCGTTCAGCGAGATTGGTTTATACACAGGAAGACTAGGAAGACTGGAAGGACTATTCTGGCCATTCCATTAGCCGTTTGGCGGCTGTTGTCGAGACTCAAGAGAGAGAGAGTCCCAATACTGCACGGGAAAGTGAGTCCTGTACCTGATCGATGAACGTCTATCTAACAGAGTAGTTTATTTAGGGTCTGACTTTTCGAAAACCCGATTTGTGAGACATTTTGCCCGTTGCGTAATTCGCAAACGCCGACTTTGAGGGGGGGG